ATAAATAATATAAAAATTAATAAACATTAATCCACAAATGTTAAAGACTTGAAATTTAGAATTCCCTTTAGAACACAATTTTGTATGCCTTATATCAATAATCTGGTATAACTGTATACGCTTTACTTGAATATAACAAAGGCTGGAAATATTCAATTAACTGAGGATATTCCTGTCATGATTAGATAAATATAATATATTTCTGATAATGGATACCTCCCACGCTTTCCTCTAATTATGTACTCAGAGGCTCAGCAAATACGGTTATATGAATGATTTAATCGAGTTTTGAAAGTTATTGAAGTTTCCATAGTCCATAAGCGCAGCCGCACCGCAGTCGCTGCAAAGTAAGCAGAAGTTTAAGCGATTGCCTTCTCATGTATGTGAGCATCAGTCATATCACAGCAAAGAAAGCTGTGAACAAGGAATCTTTCAGCCGTTCACTCCCCACTAGAGCACTCTCACTATTTCTTTTTTTTTTTTAATGATAACAAAAGAGAAGCATTTTAGGCATTGTGCAAGACATCTCTAGGCAAATGTCAAGCAATTCATATTGAATATATATATGAGTGGGTGTAACAATTCGATATCTATAGAAAATATTGCTTCACTAACATATTGCCCATTGAAAAATGCCATCTGACTAGAGTTCGGTCTACATTGAAGCCACTCATTAAGTGTTTAACTCTGTGTATTTACGTCCGAGCATATCTGTATTTATGTGTATGTGTGTGCGCACATGTTATCATGGTGTTGTGTTTGTGTTTTCAACCCGCTCATCATTTATCCATGTTAGTCCGACCACATCGCGCCCAATCAAATCAATGAAAATCATGCTGAAACGGCCGCAGCGCCGGCCTCAGAGCAAGCGCCCAGCCCAGTGATAATTGTCAAGCGGCCACGCCTACACGTCAAGCGTCTACGTCAACGCCAACGCAATGTATATATAACGCAGGCGGCACAGCAGCCGCAGCAGCAGCAGGAGGAGCAGCAGCAGCAGGAGAAGGAGGAGCAGGAAACTGTCGTTGAACCGGCGAAGGTAACAGGCAAACAAACAACTGGGCAGCTGTGTGTGGTAAAGGATATGCACACAGATACACCCGCACATGCTCACACGCCCACACACGTTCACACGCCCACACACACACACACAGGGTGTGCACTGTCCAAATGTTGGCAGCAACAGCTTTTGGCTTTTGGCTGCAACTTTCGCTTTGGGGTCAAAATATTTGACCAACGTTTGCTGTAAATTTATTTAAATTGTGGTTTATTTTGGGCCGGCGCGTTGCCAACTTGTTGGAAACATTTTCAATAATTTTTGTTGTATTATTTCTCTTCTTATTTTGTATATTTTTGTTTGCATGAATTTTCATTACGTTCTCGGTGGCAGCTAAATATAACTTTTGCATTTGTTAAGCTTTCGGTTGGCGCATTGTTTGCGTTTGTTCGTTTTTGTCTGCCATTTGTTATTGTTAAATTTCTGCAGCCATTTGATTGTTTTCTCTCGCCCACACACAGACGCAGTCGTCGCCCAAAAGTGAAGCCAAGGCGGTCCACACATCCGCAAAGGCCCCTCGCCAAGGAACGCAGGGCATCAGACATCACGTCGTATCGCCGCAGGCTCAAGGAGTCGTTGGCCAGGCACTCGACGTGAGTCATCCAAGGCATCAGCCGATGCGACTTAATTGTCTGACCCATGTATAACGCCTCTCTCTCTCTCTCTCTCCCTCTCTCTCACAGATTCCCATTGGCATATTGCGCTCCCTGCAGATGAGCTTGGGCGGCTTGGTTGGCGGACAGGCGGCAGCTGCCCAGCCCAATGGTCAGCCACAGCTGGGCTGAGTCAACGTGTTAAACCGAATATATTAATAACAGCAAAATGTCGTACAGTCAATAAAGCTAATTAAACGATATAAATAAGTGAACTAGCTTCTTTTATATGCAGAGAGGGCTGTGATACGGGAAATCAAATGTAAATGTTTCCATTGTCAGCTCAGAAAAAAAAATCAGCTTGACGTGAGACTAATTACGTGTTTGCATACTGATGCAAATTTCTGTGTCACGAATGCCTTGAAGCTATAAGAAGTTTCCGCCATCTGTTCACAGACTTCTGGCATACATACATAATCTTGTCTATGCGCGACTTATAAGGTGTTAATTGGGTTTATAAGATGTCAGCTGCTGCATAGATATTTATAACTATTTTTACAGCCTAGATATATTTATTTATTTAAATATTTACTTTTATATGGCAACCTAAACTAAAGAACATTGTAATTATATAGTTGTATATAGACTCTTTGCACAGGAGCCTTCATGGCAGTCTAAGAGGCAGAAGCAGCTCCTTCAACAGGTGAGTCACTATAGATTGTAAAATATAGATCATACTGGTATATTTATAGTGCCTAGCAGCTGGCTCTCACAAATATGATTGAAGAGTCCGGCAACAGACAGAATTTGTATGTAAAAGAAAAACTTTATAAGCACAGTTATAAATTGCTGTTGAACCTTTACTTTGTTTGTGAAATCAACCGAATCATCCTCACTCACTCTCCCTCGATTTGATTTTTGTTTGAGTGCGTTCGTGTCACGAACATCGTTTAGGGCATGATACGATTGATGTTACTAAATGAACAAATACTCATGCAGTCAGTGCAAACTGTCTTTGCATTCATACTTTCTGCCGATGCTTGAACGATTCGCCTCGGCAACGAGGAAGCAGCCAAAGAGCATTTAAAACGTAACTATTTTCTAATAACAAAGCTTATCTATTATTAGAGGTAGCTTCAGTATTTCATCTGAAATTATATATCATCTGAAATTTGAAAAATATTTGTTGCTGTTGAGCTCGACTGCAGCTCTTATCTTTGCTTTTTTGCTCTCTGCCGGCTGCTTGCAGTCTCTCAATTTACATCACTAGACTGCACTCAAGAGCTGCTAACAATATCAAATTATTTACTTTGCTTTACCTAACCCTAACTCTTGAGTGAACTTTATTTTGTGTATTTAATATAAAAAACCTCTTTTTGCTCGTACAAAGTTTTGCTCTTGCATAGTTCGAGCTTAAAGTTGGCACTGAGCGACGCCTTCGAGTGGTATGTGGGAGAGCTCTGAGGAATTTACGACCAAGCCCTCGAGTGTAGAGAGATTAGTAAACCACTTCAGCCCCTTGCTCTATGGCAATATATGTAATTTATTTATTTATTTTATTTATTGTTTATCAGTTTGAGGTGTTGCTCTTTAGGGGCAAATACTCAGTCATCGAGGATCTGCATTTATGCTACGCTGTTCTCACTCATGCACACAGTGGGGGCTTCTATATCTGTCTCGCTCTCACTCTCCTTATCTTTCACTTTGAAAGACCTTTCACACATATATATGGCATAAGGTGTAAATCGAAAAGGATCATCATTTGAGTTATGTGATGAATGCAAAAAAATATATATTTAAAAAAATTTTTTAAATTTAATTTTTCAACTGAGCCAAGCTAAGCTCTTGGTTATTTTATATAAGCCTATTAAAAGGCAACAATTTTACTGGCATAGCTAAATATTTCCAGGAAACAAACTCTTGTATGATTTGTAACAAAAGCTCTGAGTAAGACAAATAAAATAATTATTATCGTATTAAATATATGAAATCAATTTATATAAATGAACCTAAGTAAATCTAAATATAAACGTATATTAAATATCTTTCAAATGCATATTAAAAACTATAATAAATAATTGTCGTTGTCAACCTTTAATTAATTCACAAGAATTACTATTTCAGTTCAGTTTCGTGCGTCCTCAGCTGCACAATGCATTAGCCACTTGATTATAACTTAGTAAATAGCCCACTCGAATTAGAATTTGCATGAATAAATCGAAACACCGAGTGTTTGCGCAATTTATGAGAGGTTGTCTCTGGCTGTGGCGCCTTTAATTTAATTTCGTTTAAGATGAGCCATTTTATTTGTATTTCAGTTTTAGTTTCAGTTTCAGTTTCGGTTGGATGTGTTGAAAGGGTTCCAGCACAAAGTCAAAAACCACAGCAGTAACAACAACAACAACAACAGTAACAACAACAACACGAGCAATTCATTGAATAGTTTCGTCTGTTGTCTAAGTTGAGCAAGCTTTGGCTTTGGCCCTGGGGCACATGCAGATCTACAAATGGGTTAGAGGAGTCCACAAAAAAGAAATAGTACAAAAATAAAAATACAGAGAAGAAGAAGAAGAGAAACCCGTATTGGCACGAACAATGTGCTCGAAATTCAAGTTTAAAGCAGGAAATGCCACAGCGTCGGACTTGTTTATTTAGGAGCTGCTGGCCAGACCCTCAGACAAGATACGGCGGGGCACAAAAACGCCACACACACACACACGCTATGTGTGTATGTGTGTGTGTGTGTAGGATGTGGCAGAGCAAAATATTTCACACTCTGCAACCACAGGCACTTGTGCGGCGCACTGCAAGGGGACAAGGGGGTGGGTAACGCTCCACACATGTCTGAATGCCTAACACATATACAAAAGTACACACATAGACACAGACACAGACACACACACACACCCACACACACACGTACACTCATGTAGTGTATTGTGTAAATATGCTTAAACACCTCGGGCTTTTATGCTTTTAACCCTTTGCCGCATAAAGTCGCCACTATATAAGTGTGAATGTGTGTGTAGCTGTGTGTGTGTGTGTGTGTGTGTGTGTGTATGGGTGGGCGTAAGCCTGCTTCAGTTAGCTGGCAACAAAATGAATGTCCATGCAGCGGCGTTTTGTGGCTGTTCTGTGAATTTCTTAATTAATATTGCGCACGCAATTTATTGACATTTAGCGAACTCCAAATTTGGTTCCAGCTGGCAAATGATGGCCAGGTCGCTCATTTAGCCTTGCCCTACCCTGCCCTGCCCTGCTCTGCCCTGATCTGCCCTGTCCGGCCCATCCTAGCCCCGGGACAGCGCTTGAATTCGCCGAAATGACTTGCATATCAAAACATGGACAAATATAGATGAAACAATATCAGCTTAAGCAAACAATGACGAAGGGAATCATATGCCACATATATATGTTGGTTTGAGCTTCAAGCTTTGGGAAATAGCCGAATCTATGAATATACCCTTTCTGTAATTTTGCAAAGCCTTCACGTTAAATAAATATATGCATATGATTTCATTGTAATATATATGATTATTATGATAATCATTATTATACATTTTTTATATTTTCTCTGGAATAATCATATACAAAATATATGCATATATAAGTTAAGCGCACCCACACTAGAGTACTAGTGATTGGGGACGCTGTGTTGGGTTCTTGTGAAWATATAACWACTTGGTGYTCGATGAAATAATATATTTGATATAATTTGGAACAATAGGTCTGAACTGTGTCTGGTCCGAATATAAACTGAACTAAATCTGTTCAACTGGTTAGATTCTCCCCTTGAATGTCTGACTGGATTCTCCAGCCTCCTTAGATTGTCGAAAGTCTTAACTTATATGATTATTATGATGATCATTATTATAATTTTGTTGTATATTCACAGAAAAGTTGACTGGCATTGGGTAAACACACAAAAATAGTTAGAGTTCAGCAGGACTGGTTAGGGGAGTATCAAGGGGAGAACAAGCCAGCAGTCGATAGTGATGATTCGTAGAATGAATAAAAAATCAAAATTTATAATAAAAATTTTTTTCTACGAACTTTCCAGTTGGCTAAATATTTATATTTACAGTGATGCTAACAAATTTTAAAGGTAACAAACAATAAATATATATATTTATAATTCGATAAGCTAGCTTTCCAGAGCTATGCAACGATTACAGCAGCATTAAAGTTGTTCAATAGCATTTTCATAGTACGATTTAACAGCGACTAACTCTTTAGGGAACTTGCTCTTGAGATCCTCCACAGGAATAAGTCACTCGGAGTCAGTTCCAGAGAACAAGGTGAATGTTCATGCATTTGGAAACCCAAATCAAAGCATCGTTTTCATTGATATGCAAAGGTCACAAAGATTGTGAAACCAAGAAGCCCTATCGCATTTTGAAAGGTTATTCTCGTTTAAATTGAAGCTACTTCTCTTCTTTTTTTACTAACAAAATTTATACAAAACTTAAAAAAAAGGAAAATGTGAAAAGAAAGTTCTAAAGCATCTGAAGCAAACTTTTACTAAGCTCTGATTTTAGTTTTGTTCAAAATTTGCATAAAAGTGAGCTTTAAATGTATTATTTATCAGGTAGACAAAGCATAAATATAATATGCACTCTATCTAAATATTTAATATTTAAGATAAATAATTAAACTCAATAAATCTAAAAATTAAAATAACGAATTTATTAAAAATAAGTGAGATATTTAAAACAATATTCAAACTAAACTTTGAATTAATTTTTTTTTTTTAATTATTCAACATAAATAAATAAATGCATTTTATGATATATAAGAAAATAAAGTGTTCATATTTGATTTTCATATATTTACATTTTATATTTCTGTCTGTTTTGAACCTTAAAGAATAATCCATCTATGTTTTCATATATGAACATGCATGAAATCAACATAAATATTAAATCGAAAACGAAATCCAAATACAGCAGCCAACCAGATGACAAGTTTATCTGGTATACATAATAGATATGTATATATGTACGTGTATGTGTGTGTGTATAGGTATGTGTGTATGTGAAAGAGTAGTTATGTATTCAGTGCATTCACATCATATTGAGCTTGAGTCAACACATAATTGTTTGGCTGAGTGGGCTTTAGGGGCAAGCGGGCAGGCGGGCAGGCGGGCTAACAGCGGGTCGCAGAATTCTCAATTTGTAGGTCGTTCGCAGGCGGCGCATTAAATTTTACGCACGTGCCCCACAAATTATATTTGCCGTACAGTTGTGTGTGTGTGGTCCAATATGTATAAGTATATACATATATATAAGCAATTTCTAATTTAGAAAATAAATAGCCAGTTGAAAATTGAAAAGGTTTTTTGTTTTTTTTTTTTTGTTTTTGGCTTTGTTTTGTTAAAGAATTTCTCTTTTTTTCGCTGTTTCCTTTATTCATACGTGCTGAGGGCGCTGAGTAAATTTTTTGAAAAGAAATAAAGCAAAGGCACAGAGCGAGTTATATGTATGCCAGAACCTACACGCACGCCCACACACACACGCAAGCATACGCACACACAGTGCGCTGAAAGGTAGGCAACAGAATCTGCTCTGTACTACATGACGTATGCGTGATGCACTGGTCCAGCTTGTAGAGTGCAAGGCAACACAAGCATGCACAATGCGAAAATCCGATTAACAATGCATTTCAGATACAATTGTGGCAACATTTAGTAAGTAACTAGAGGCCCAGCTCTTAGTTGGAGTTACTTACGGCTGAGCAGTGTGCTCACAGTTGCTTGAGTTGTTATGGATGCTTAATGCAATCCAATTAGCAACTTGTAGGCAACTAATTGTAAGATGAGCAGATAGTTTTCAGCAGCATATACATACATATATGTATAGCTCACTCTCTCTCTTTCTCTCACTTTCTATCTCTCCCATTCTGTCTCTGTATGTGCGCATTATTATAGATTATATGTAAGGAATTAAGATTAAAGAGCCTGTTGGCGACTTGGCTGAGAAGCTGGGAGGCTGACGCAGCACATAATAAATATTCAGTGCTCGAGTTTGTGGAAATTGAGTGCAAACAGGTGAATATAAATATTCATATTTGCTATGTACACACGCCGCAATACAATCTTCTCAACTCTGTTTGCCCGCTCAAAGTAATTTAAGTTGGCTTTAATCTTGAATTTCTTGTATAATCATAATTATGTATATGTATATATAGAACAACTTATGTTGGCAGCGCTAAAAGCATATTAAGTCGAAATAAGGTGAATTTGTGCATAATTAATAAGTCGACACCATTTAATCGAGGCAATGTGATTTTAGCCCCTAAGCCAAACTCTATGGACTGTTGCCATATGCAAATTTCTATTGCGACGTGCTTACCAAAAAGGTCTCAGTTAGTCAACACCAACATAAACAGTTCATGAAATATACAAATATATATATTTTATATACTATACATATATGTACGTCTGTATATCCACAGTGTGTACATGTGGTTCGTGCTTGATGATATTTTACATGCGTGTAACACATTTTATGCAAATGCATATGGATATGCAAATGAGTTATTTGGTGACAACAAGCACATAATACTGCAAATAACAATTAAAATAAGCTTTTAATGTAACTGTAGAAAGTCTGCAAAGGCGTTCCGCTATGCTAATTGAATTACCTACGTACGCACAACAGCCACTATATATTTGATGTGCAATTAAGATAATAGAATTAACGTAATTAACAGCTTAGCTAACTTTGAGATTCTTAGCTCATTTTTAAAGAATACTCCTTGAAATTCTAAATTTAATTACGTAGATTTAAAATTATTTCATTTTAAAAATATATAGAAAGTAATAGAATATTTGTCGCAAATATATCAAAATATCTGCAGTTTATTTAACTCTCAGAGTCAAATTAAATTATAATTTCTCCCCATTACTGATGATGATTTAATGAAAAATAAAGCGTTTATACACACATATATATATATATAGATTTCCTGGAATATGAAAGCAATTAAAATCGACGCTAACCATTTCAATGAAACTCATTTAATTATCAGGTGAAAATAGAAAGTACACCGTACCGTTTTCTCAAGAAAACACAGAAGTGCACAGGTTTAATGCGCTTAAAAATGAAAAAAGAAAAAAAAAAAAAAATAT